ATGTATGATAGAAACTTGTCTTTTAATCTTTAAACACAACATAAAATTTAAAGCGTTTAGCGTTCTGACTAAAAAATTATATTAAAGCATTTAAACAGACAATAAAATACTTAACGTCATTTGGGTTTTTGCCAAAGGCTACCCAAAGATTGTCGACAAGGCAACGTTCTTCCTTACTTAGAGATATATGATTCTGCGTCCTGAAAGAAACATTGCTGCAACTTGGGAAAACAATTAGTTCGTTATTTCCAAATCTAAGACGTTACTGATAATTAGGTCTAGTCTGGCTAATAAAAGTCTGATTAATTACTGGTCTTGTTGTAGGATTATTTGCGGCAGGAATTCTTGGTCTTGGAGGGGGTCTAGACATCTGCAAAAATAAAAATTACATTAATTATTTTTATTTTCCAATAATCGACTGAGAATATCTGCAGCTTTGTTATCACTACCTTTAATGTGCTTTATTTCTATAATTAAACTAGTATTATTGATTCTATCTAAAAAATTTAACCAACGTCTCCGACTACTTTTTTTGCTTTCACCTTTCATTTTATTGTAGAAAGAGACAATTGCTTTACAGTCTGTACTAATAGTAATTTCTTTTTTCGATACGATAAAAAACTCAAAACTATCTAAAAACTGAATTTATGGCTGACAATTCTGCATCTATACTACTAATATTACCCTTTTCTTTATAAATGTCGCTGCTATAACGACATATTTTTTCGGAAATCTGGTCTGCATATTTATGAGGTTTACATAAAAGGATAGTTCCGTAACCTTTACTACAACCATCAATCTCAATTATCAAATAATCTATATCAAGAGGTAAAGCAAGTTCGGGTAAATATTTGATCTCATTTTTCAATTGTTGCACAAACTTAACATCTTCTTGATTAAAATATCTTTGCCCATTTGGAAAGGTTTTTGCATATAAAGGACCAACAATTTTCCCTAGATTTTTTATAAAAGGTCTAGCATAATTTATCAATCCTAAAAACTTTTGCAACTGTTTTAAATCTTCTAATTTATCTAGAAAATCAACAGTTTTTGGAGCAATATGAGGTTGCAAAGTTATTTTTCTTTTTCCAATATTTACTCCTAAAAAGTCTATATATTCACGAAATAACTGCATTTTTTTTACTCAAAATTAAACCATGTCTTATACATTCTGAAAAAACAATTTGCAAATGGCTTTTATGGTCTTTTTTTTGTTTTTACTGAAAACCAAATTGTCATCTATATAAACGGCCACAAAATTGCTATGTTTATTAAAAATGTCTTCCATTTTTCTTTGAGATATACGCGGGGCATTCTTAAGCCCAAAAGGCATGACTAACCATTCAAAATGACCTTCTGGACAAGTAAAAGCCGTCCATTTTATTCTGTCTTGATGCATTTTGACTTGCCAAAATCCTGATTTCAAATCAAATTTATTAAAAATTTTGTAATTTTAAATCTTGTTGATTAAAATAGTCTTATCAGAAATATTATATGCATCGTCAATTGTATTATCATTCGGTCTTTTATAATTTATGACCATACGACTCTTTTCTCTAACTATTTCAAAATGATTTTTAACAATAAAAGCGGCTGATGTATGGGGACTATCAGATTTTCTAATAACGCCTAATTTTATCAATTTTGAAATATGCATTTTAAAATCTTTTCTATCGTCATTGGTTGGCTCTATATTTCTAGTCTTTATCACATATTCGGGATTTTTAATTTTTAACTCTAATAAAACTTTGTCTTTTTCCCAATATTTGATGATGTCTTCTCCAATTATTCTTATTTTCTCTAATTTATAGACAAGTTCATCGATATCAGAATCTGTTACTAAAGCTGTGTATAACTTTTCACTACTAACAAAGTCTAGATTATAATCTATAAAATGGTCTTCATCACAATTTATAAATTAGTGTAAATACTCGTCTAACTCTTCTTTTTTGAGATGACACTCTCTTTCTTTCTTACATTTGTAGGGTTTTTCAAGAATTGGTGCATTATACATGTCTATTTTTGAAGGAACATGAGTAGTGATGGCAGGAGTGAAAAAAATATGCTTGTGAAAATGTAAAAAGTCTTTAGTTAAAGTGACGCTACCATTGTCTTTAATAAAAAATTCAATCCGAGAATAAAATCCATATTGGTAAGGTTTAACACCCTAAAAAAAGTATTTTTAGGAGGTAGAGTATATATTTGCTAAAACCATAGTTGGTCTCGAAACTAACTTTACTATTTGGTCTCAACATTTCTTTGCAAGAGTAAATTTCACCATCCATTTATTGTGCTTCTATTGGTAAGTCTGATTTAACAATATATCTAGATGGAACCAAGGATTTGTTTAAGATGCAATTAGAATAACCAGAATCAACAAATGCAAGACAGTTGATAACAAAATCATCAATTCGAATTTTGCATTTTACTTTTAATGATTTTAAATTATCAGAATTACAAACAACTTGCACATAGTCTTGTCGAATCAGGTCTTTATTTTCGTCTATGGTGTCTTTTACCTTTACTACTCTTTCAAAAAAGTCTATTTTCTTTTGAAAAAGCTTTACCATATCTTCAACGCTTTCTATTTTTTTTTCTTAAGACTCTGATTTCTTGTTTATCAAGATCTCTGGCAACATTTATATAATCTGGTTCTATTCTTATTAAATCTTTCTTTTCTAGACATTTTATGCAGGCATCAATATGGCAATTTAAACACTTTGCTCTTAGTCTTTTATGTGGAAAAAGATTGCAAATAACACAAGAAATATTATCAATTCCGGTATATTTTTGCCAATCATGATCACAAGTAACTTCTTCTAAATTAACAAAGTCTAAATCACGGTTACAGCATAGATATAGGGTCTTTTCTATAATATTATAAATGGATGTGAAGCTATCATGTAATAAACAGACTCTGACATTGTTGTCTTTATCATAAAAAAATATTGATCAGAAATCTATTTTGACGAATACAGCCGGTCTTCTAAATAAAAAAGTTCTTCATCATTTAAAAACATTTTTAGTTTTTTGGAAAAAATAATTTTGCAAGTGTTATTGCAAATTAATTGAAGGTGTATTAATGTAAATTCTTTTTTAAACAACCGTCTGAGAGCATTTTTTGAAAAAAAAAAACGTCTAATGACATTTGTGAAACAAAAAAATGAGGATAAACCAATTTTTTATTTTCTAGTTTTAAATTTTTTATAAAATACAACAACAACAGAGAAAAACAGATGTTAATAAGACTAATAGATAAAGAAACAATACTGATTAAACACACTAAGAGATGAAACAGTAAAAATTTAAAGACTTAAATTCTAGGATAAAACAAAACAAGGAAAAAGATTTTTTTTTGTTTTTTAATGACAAATTCACTAATAAACAAACACAATAATAATTATATAACAAATAAACACAACAATAATTATACAATACAACACAAAGCTTAATCTTATCTAGGCGGAAATGAAAAAAAACACAAAAAAAAAAAAAACACGTAGCTAGACGGAAAGAAAAAACAATACGTAACTAGGCGGAATTAAATATAATAAAAGCTTATCTAGACACAACAAAATTTTTTGATCGTAACGTAATGCTCTAATACCAAATAAGGGGGGGAGTTGTATGACGGCGGTAATAATAGCAAATAGGATAACGATTATAAATAAAAATACGAAGAAGTTTAATGGCACAAATAAACTTAAATCCTACTCGGTACTCTCTTAGAGGATGTTTCGAAATATAACTTTAGTAAAGTAAGCAATCTTCTCTTTAGAAAAATAAAATAAAAAATAAGAAATGTAAAAAGAATTTGCATGCATGGATACATGCAAATTACTTCAACTAATAAAAAACATTTACACAAACAATTATGCAAAATGCTAACAAATAAAAAAGAAAAACCATGCATGGAAGCATGTAGTTTCATAAAATTAAAAAACTAAATATGCATGGAACAAAAACGTAAAACAGAATACATATTATATATATATATATATATATATATATATATATATATATCTATACTACATTAATAAGTATTTAAGTCATTATCTTAATTACAACCCTCTAAGCACAAGTTACAATCATTTTATGCTAGAATTTAAAAAATATCTTAATTACAAATTATCATGCACAATGTACAAGTTATTTATACTAAGTGTTTCATCCAATACCAAATCCTAATTGTGTCAAACCTTCTTTCTCTTCGTCAGAATTCTAAAATCACCAATTTGGGCCACTTTCTTCTTCTTCTTCTTCTTCTTCTTCTTCTTCTTCTTCTTCTTCTTCTTCTTCTTCTTCTTCTTCTTCTTCTTCTTCTTCTTCTTCTTCT